GTTCGGATGAACTTCTCCCATCTATAACCATCAAATAATCCAGAATTAGGTTCACAATTTGGAAAGAGTAATCGAAGATGCTTTAATACAGGCAATTGTGAAAGGAGTGTTTCAACATCATTCATTTCTATACCCGTACAATTGTTTAATAAGAGCGATGTTAAATTGCTTGTTCGATCATTCATGACAGCACAATTATCGGAACTGTACTTACGAAGATTGTTTATAATAAGCGTTTGTAGATAAGGTAGGTGAGAAATAATAGTATAAAGTGTCTTCCAATGACATTCATATATTATAACGTGTTTCAAACTACATTGATTAGGCCATTGTAGCTCACTAATACTATCAGAGAATCCTTTAAATTCGAATTTCTGAAGATTATGATTTGACAAGATAGATGACATAAGTGACATATGTGTGTTCAGATGAAGTCTATCTAACGAAATTGAAAATGTTCTTAATAAACATTGCATTGTATGATTTTTAAATTTATTCAAATCACTGGCTTGTACTTTGGTAAGTTTCAATGAACGTAACTGAATGAATTGATCAATACGAAAATGAGAAAAAAATAATTCTATTTGATTATTTGTTTGTAATTCATCCGAAAGCGTTATTGAAACGATATTTTTAGGATTAATAATACGAGCTATGACAGGCAAATCAGATTTGAACATGTAAAGAAAGTTTAATTCATACCGATCATAAATATTTGCGGCATAATAGAATTGTTTACTCATACATCGGATTGAAAATAGAATTGTTTCTACATCGAGATAATTGAAAATTCGATGAATTATTTCGATGGGTAACGCTTCAAAATGAGATTTATTTGTAGCAGACATATATATTTGATAATTTACTTAATGTCAAATGGTTATGCACTATTTCAATTGCAAAATCTAAGAATAAAATATAGAGTGTAAACGCTGATTCAAGTAAAAACCCGAGAAAAATATATTAGAAGACATTAACAGAGAGAGGAGATGTGTGCTGTTACAAGAGAAATTCCCAGAATCAAAGAAAAAAATGCGAAAACCTCGGATTTAAATCCGAGTGTTATGTGTACTTCAAAAAGTGAAAAGGTATATTCACTGTGCTTTTTATCACTAAATTGCAAGGAGAAAATACACACGTGCTAAGTTAGCATGGACCATACTGTATGCGATCCTATCCGGTGACCACTGACTCTACTCTCAGACTTA